GCGACAGAAGCGAGCTGTAAAACTAAACCTAACCCTAACCCTAAACGTAACACTAACCCTAACCCTAAACGTAACGCTAACCCTAACCCTAAACGTAATGCTAAACCTAACCCTAAACGTAACGCTAACCCTAACGCTAAACCTAACCCTAAACCTAACCCTAAACCTAACCCTAAACGTAACGCTAACCCTAACCCTAAACGTAATGCTAAACCTAACCCTAAACGTAACGCTAACCCTAACGCTAAACCTAACCCTAAACCTAACCCTAAACCTAACCCTAACCCTAACCCTAACCCTAACCCTAACCCTAAACCTAACGCTTACCTTAAGTTAAATCGGCTTTCTGTTGATGCCCTGTTGTAAAGCGCCCTTCTGTCTCCGCGCTGTTGTCGCCGTGCTGTTGGCCCGTTGATGACGTCACGGTTTTAGCGACGCGGTTTAGTCGGGCGCGGTTTTGTCATTCGCCCTTTTGTCGGGTCACGCTTTCTGAGCAGTTTGGCAAACTGGTTATTGGAAGAAATTATTAGGGCAGAGAACCGGTTGTTAAATTATTTGAATCTCACCACTGTCCTTAATCCACCCATCTGCCCAAATCCTCTCCACCTCCTATGTGCTTTCTGATACCCCTCCCAGTTCTAAAGAGATTGAGCCTTTAAAGACCCGAATATCCTTGCATGTTTTTCAGGCTCAAGAAGCTGTTCCCCAAAGGAGGTTCCATCAGAGGCTGCATGAAAGGACTGAAAGCTCTGGGGAAATACGTGGACTTAAAACGCATGAACACCATCGGAGTGAGTTACGGCTGCACCTTGGACCTCCTGGTAAGACGATGTATCTATGGACCTCTTTATTGTAGCACGCAGCTAGAGCTGCGGTGGCGCAGAGGTTAGAGTGCAGTACTGCAAGCTGCTTCTGCTTGCCTGCCGGCTGCCTGCAATTTGGCAGTTCAAATGTCACCAGGCTGAAGGTTGACTCAGTCTTCCCTCCTTCTGAGGTGGGTAATATGACGATCCAGATTGTTGGGGGCCATATTCTGACTCTGTAAATCGCTTAGAGAGGGGTGTAAAGCACTGTGAAGTGGTACATAAGTCTAAGTGCTATTGCTATTTGGAAAAAGGCAGCTTTGTTAGGATAGGTAGACCTCTACTTCCGACCGTAATGGAACCTGCCCATCACAGTTATCAGTGGTTAAGGTCATTTAGTGAGGCTCCCACATGATCGCCTCATTGAACGACCACTCTCCTGGCCATCCCAGGTGCGGTCTCTAAACAAACAGAGCGAAAGAGAGATGCCTGTTGAAAGAGGACAGTCAGCTCTGTTGTAGAACTGCCCCGCTGGGTGGGAGAAAGAAAGCACAGATCCCAATGAACTCAGCTTCGTTTCAAGCTTGATTTTCTCCACCACAAATGCACTGGATCCCCTCTGATTTATATGCTAGAAAGTTATGCTTTCTTTCTTTTTTAATGCAAATTTATTTGATCATAGAAAATAAAGTATAAAGTAGTCAGACAAGCAAATAAAATGAAACAAAAGAAAAAATTCTATTCAACCCTAACAACAACCGCAAAGAAAACATGTATGAAAAAATAGGAAAAAATTGTCAATTAAACATTTTATATGTAGAATCCACCCTGTATGCTGAAAGAAAAAAAGCAGTAAATTCTGCTCTCCTTTTACAGACAGACAGACAGACAGACAGACCGAGATAGATAGACAGACAGACCGAGATAGATAGACAGACAGACCGAGATAGATAGACAGACAGACCGACCGAGATAGATAGACAGAC